TCTCCTCACTCACTGCAAGCTCCCCCTTGTCTTGTACTGTGCCTTCTGCACCCTGACCCCTGCTTTCCCACCAACTACGACTTCCTCTTTTCTCGCTACGGTGGAGTAGGGCTACACCATTCATACTTGGAGCTACTCTTTGCTTTCTTGAAATGAGAAACAAAGCTGGGGGTTGTGGCCCAGGCCTTTAATCCCAGCACTTGGGAAGCAGAGACAGGCAGATCACCATGAGTTCGAGGCAATCTGGTTTATAAAGGGAGTTCCAGGACAGCCAAAACTGTTACACAGAGAAGCCCTGTCTCGAAAAACCAAAAATAAATAAATAAATTTAAAAAAAAAAGAGAGAAACACTTATCTTTATTTGGGGGGGATCTCCTACACGAGTTCTGCATTTACAACACCTTTACCCCATCTTCTCCCCACGTCTCCCCTACTCCTCCCAAATTCATGACCTCTTCAATTATTACTGTTACATAGCTTTTCTTTTTAAATTATTTATGTGAACTAATGTTTTATCTGCAGGTAAAACATGCTACAAACAACATCCTGACTCTTAAGTTTAACAACCAGGTCTTTAAACAACATCAGGCTTGCCCTGTGTGCACCAACTCCTACCTGCTCTATGGCTGGCAGCATGCAGGCCGTCACAGCTGCACTCCTGTTACCTAGTCTGCATTTCTTCTAGCTGGGAACAGGTGCAGCTAACTCTCTAGCCAGCAAGAAGTTTAGACAGTAAGTTTTTTTGCACACTGGATATGAGGTTCTTTCATGTACCCAAGTAGCAGTTAGGAACAATGAACCTTCAGCTCAGCCAAAGTCTCTCCTCAGAAAACCCCAAGAATGACAGCCATAAGCAAATGGGTTATAATAAAAATAATTAAAGCCTTGAGGGTGGATGAGCTTGACAAGAACACTATGAAACAGGAAACTTAAAACTGTGTTCACTGAAATTCAATGTATGCATAAGCCTGTATTTCTGAGGAAGGGAATATATTTGGTCATATTCTTAAACAAATTCCTAGGTCTAAAAAGATTTTTTAAAAAAAGTATGGAAGAGGGAGAAGCTGAAATGTGACCCAGGGAGCATCATTTATAAAAGTGTGCCACAATCTGGGGATTAGAGAGTGGTGGGAACAGGGCATGGGATGCGTTAGTATCTCATTTCCAGCTTACTGTGTGAGTCAGGGCAACCTCAACACACATGATTTTGATTTAGAATTGGGCAATGTATCCCTAAGATGTGCTGACTCAGACATCCTGACTCCTGGGCTTCGTACACTCTGTGAAAACCAGCATTTTTAGGTCTGCAGATGGGGATTTCTACATTCCCAGTCAAAATGTGATTGTTCTCCTACCCCGTCCTCCTCTCTCCCCAGCATAAGTAAAGGCACGACTTCTGCAGGCAGCCACCAGACTCTGCATTGGAGATGTCTGTGGAACTATATGATCATGATACAGCTCACGACTGCTGCATATTATCAGATCTGAGTTGTCAAAGGCAAAAACCAAAGCAAAACAGAAAAAAAAAAAGTTTTGAAGATACACAGGATTTGGTTTGAAATGCAGCTAACCGGTGAGACAGACAATGAAATTCAAATTCAAAAGACAAGGATGGGGTTAGCAAGAAGGCTCACTAGTTTCCAATGGCTGGCAGTCTGGCAAGCTGAGTGTGATTCTTGGAACCTGCATAAAAGTGGAAGGAGAGAACCCTCTCCAGAGTTGTCCTCTGACTTCCACGTGCATGCCATACACACAGTAAAAGAAAAATGAGAAACAAAAATCTAAGCATGTTAGTATTGCATACATTATTACAAAGGGATCAAAAATGGAATTCATCTTTTCTTTCTCAATTCTCGACCCCCCAGGATGCATTATGAAACCCTTTCAAAAGCCACAGTGGGCATAAAACGCATTCTCGAATCACATGGGTTCAAACCACAGCATTCTTCTCAACTACCACTCAAGAAAGCCAAAAATAATCTAGCCAAGACAACTTGCACATGTGAAACTGTACTGAATCCTGTCCTGGAAACCTTGAAATATTACTGACACACCTGTCTTAATTTACGGAAATCCCATCTAGTCTTGTGCACAGGAGAAAGCTACCAGTTACCAGCCCATTACAAAAAGACTGTCAGGGATTGCGAAGTGAGAGGCTAGACTAATGCTGGCTTGCTGTTTAGCAAACTGCAGTTCAAAACTTCAATATGTGAAACAATAAAGCTTTCAGAAAACACAGTTCATAAAACACAACCAACAGTCAGACGGTGGTGGCGCACACCTTTAATCCCTGGATTAATGTCACGAGCCATTTCCCCCCTAAAATTACAGAAACCATCATCCTGGGGAGTCTGCAGAGAACCCCACACCCATAATTATGTTCTGGGGACTGAACCCAAGGCCTGACTTCTGCACAACAAGCTTTAAGGACTGCGCCATCTCCCCAGCAGGGGATAGTATAACATCTGCCCTCAGGGGTCAAGAAATCACACCTCAGCTAAACAAAGCCTTAAAAGTAAAGTGTTCCTTACAAAGCCAGATAATTCTGTTGTTTGTGCAAATTTGGGGTAATCAGCTATGGGAACAAATGTCACCATGCAAATGGGAGTCAAAGGACAACATCCTACAAGCTGAGCAGAGCAGTGACTCAACTGTCCCCACAGCTCTTTGAAAGAAGGGTTTTGCTGACATTGCAGACCTCTGATGATAAAGCATTCAGCAAGTTAGAACAATGGTAATTTGAAATAATTTCCTGGTCATAAAAAGTTAGAAACAAAGCAAGAAAAATCTACTCAAAGCCAAATTCCATGTCTTTCCTTAGTTACTTTGAGAATCTCACTTACCCTTCTGGTGTTTTCAAGGATCTTGGGGTCAGGTTTTCCGTAGTTAGGGGGATTGGCATATGGATCATATCCAAGTTTAGAAAGCATGGGTGCAATTACTGCCATGTCTTGTAGAACATCTGAGGGTATCTTCCCAACCCACTTTGCTAGAGCCCCCATGTTGACAGGCTTGATGACTTGGTCTGTTGATCTTTCCACTCTGAAAAAAAAATGAACAATTACTTACAAAAAATCTAAACAAAACAAAAACATGGCGGTATCAACCTATAATCTCAGCACTCCAAAAGCAGAGGCAGGAGGATCAGGAATTCCAGATTATCCCAGTGTGTAAAAGCAAGTCAGAGGTCAGCCTGACTGCATGGGACAAAAAGAGAAAAGAGTTAAACAATTGTAAATTCTATTTGATAGCTTTAAATTCTTTGTCAGGCTGCTGAGATGGCTCAGCACTTAACAGAACTAACTCTCAAAACTTGTCATCCGACTCATAAAGAGTGTCACTATTTATTCTCTCTCCCCGCTGAGCCAAACAATGTGCCCTTGTACACTCACTAACATACACACTCTCTCTAACACACACACACACACACACACACACACACTAATAAACATAATAAAAATGTAAAAGAATGGGCAGCAGACAAGTGTTTCCTTCAGTCTTAGAAAGCAGGCAACATGTGGTCTTGACATGTACTAGGGTTTCAGTTACCATTCTGGCACTCTGTCTCCCCGGAACCTTAAAACACAGTATCTGACACACTGGAGTGATTCAAAACCCACAGCCCAGCCTGGTGGTGGTGGCGCAAGCCTTTAATCCCAGCACTCGGGAGGCAGAGGCAGGTGGATGTCTGTGAGTTCGAGGCCAGCCTGGTCTATAAGAGCTAGTTCCAAGACAGGCTCCAAAGCTTCACAGAGAAACTTGTCTCAAAAACAAACAAACAAACAAAACAAAAAAACCTAACCAACATGAACCAGCCAGCGCCCCATCGATGGGTCATGAGAGTCCAGCCTCTCTCAGCACCCACTACTAAAGCTATCCACATGTCAGAGCCCGTTTGGGTCCAACACAGATTCTCTAACTAGACTGGAACGGAGTCGCGAGGAATAACCAGACACAGCTTACACCGTCATCATGGAAAAGGCCAGAATCTCCGTTTATTGTCCAAACATCTTATATACCCACACCAAATGAGCGGGAACACACAAAGGCTGTTGCCTAGGCAACCAGGTGCCTGGGCTCTCATCACGTCTGCATCTAGCAGTCAGGTAGGCCCTGAATTAGCATCTCTATAAGACAACCTCCAAATTGCATGAGGAAAGAAGCCCCAAACATACTGACCAGTTTCAGTCAACACCTCTTCTCAGGTAATCCACACTTTAACAAAAGAAGCTAGGAGCATGACATCCTGGCTTGTTAAGGGCACAGACAGCTTGTCTGAGCTATGTATTCAGCTCAAACCGGGGCAATGGCTTTTGTGGCATATCGGAATATGAGCCCACATCCACAGTCAGGCTGTCTGTCAAGCCGCAGCTGAATCAGTGTGCAGCAACTAACTACCAGAACTCAAGTCCTCCATCTGAAGCATCCATGTTGGAGTGGACATGCAAAGAGGAAGAATAGAAGTCAAGAAACCAAGCCAGATGACCACAGGGAAATACACCATGAAATGCCACCAATAGCCATATTTTTAAAGACTAGTATTAGAAAATGTTCAGGTTTTGTCTTTGTGAAAGATGGTTTTAAAATGCTTAGGACCAGGAAGATAGCTAAGTCAGTAAAAGGCACTTGTCACCAAACCTGATGTCTTGCGCTCTATCCCCAGAACCTACTAATTCCTACAAGTTGTCCTCTGAGTTCCATACATACACACAGTGTCATGTGTATATACACAGACACACACATAAATAAATACATGTAATTTTAATAATTCTAACAAACATACTTTTTGGTTTTTTGTTTGTTTGTTTGTTTTTGCTTTGTTTTTCGAGACAGGGTTTCTCTGTGTAGCTTTGGAGCCTGTCTTGGAACTAGCTCTTACAGACCAGGCTGGCCTCGAACTCACAGAGATCCACCTGCCTCTGCCTCCTGAGTGCTGGGATTAAAGACGTGTGCTACCACCGCCTAGTCAAAATACTTTTAAATGTATCTATACCAGAAATTCAGTAGCTAAGAGCACTTGCTGCTCTTAAAGAGGACCAGAGTTCAAGTCCTAGCACGCACTTTGGGTGGCTCACCACTGCCTGTCACTCCAGCTCCAGATGATCTAGCATCCTCTTCTGGCCTGGGTGTGTACCCACAAAGCACACAGGTGTACTCAAAGACACACACATATGCATAGATAAAATCTTTTTAAAAGCGTGTTATATTGGAGGCAGGAATGATGGCTCTGTAGTTAAGGGCACTTGTTCTTGCAAAGGAGCAAGATTCACCTCCCAGTACCCACATGGCAACTCACAACTATTTGTAACTCCAGTTCCAGGTGGCGCCCTATTCTGACATCCACAGGCACCAGGCACGCAGATGGTGAACATACATACACACAGACAGAAATCATACACATAAAGCAAAATATCTAAACCTAAAAATATGTGCTACATACAGATGATATTTATAGCATAATTGTTTACACGTGTGGGCATGTGCACACAAAGACTCATGAACAAAGGCTAACAAACCAGCAGTGGGATAATAAAATTTTATCACTAACATATGAAAGAGAAATAGAAATCAGACTATAAAAAGATGCAAGATAGAGCAAACTGATAAATCTAGGCACCAAAGATCAAGAGCTGCTAACATCACAAAAGAAAGAGAACCACGCACTGATGAATAACGTTGCCAAATCAGACTGCCTAAGCCTCTAGGTTCAGCTGCCAACTGGTATAGAGTATAGAACTGAGAAAAATGTGTGTGTGTGTGTGGGGGGGATCAGCATGCCACAAATAACATTTCAGACGATTATGTATCCTTCAAAAATAAAGTATATAGTTAAAAAAAATGGCTGGCGAAGGCTCTAAGGTAATACTGCTGCTGCTCTTGCAGGAGATCCGCACTCCCTTTCCAGCCAACACAACAGGTGGCTCCAGGGCAGTGCTTAACTTTCCTGATGCTGCAACCCTTTAATACATTTCTCATGTTCTGTGACCCCAAACATAAATTATTTTCATTACTACTTCATAACTGTAATCTTGCTACTGTTATGAATCTTTTTTCAGATCTATTTATTTTTATGTATATGAGTGCTCTATCTACATGTATCCCTGCAGGCCAGAAGAGGACATCAGATCTCACTACAGATGGCTGTGATCCACAATATGATGCTGGGAATTGAACTTAGACCTCTGGAAGAGCAGCCAGTGCTCTTAAACCCTGAGCCATCGATCCAGCCTGTTGTGGATCTTAACATAAATATCTGTGTTTTCCGGTCATCTTAGGCAACTCCCATGAAAGGGTCATTTGACCCCTAAGGGGTCGAGATCCACAGGTTGAGAAACTCTGCTCTAGGGGCTCCATCAACCCTTCTTGGTCTCCACAGGCCCAAACAGACAAGGCACACACAGAGAGACATAGAAACACACAAAAATAAAAATACCCCGCACTCAGGAAGTGTGGATCTGTAAAGTCTGAGGCTGGCTATGTCTAGTTCCAGGTCAGCCAAGGCTACACAGTGTGCCTCTCTCAACAAATAAAACAAAACCTTCAATGTGTGGTAGACAGCTCAGTTAGGAGTGTTCCCTACCCTTGCAGAGTACCTGGGCTCAGTGCCCAGCACTCACACCAAGCAGCTCCCAGCACACATGCGACATACACTCACCAAGACACAAACACAGACATATAATATAGAGCCATAAAATAAAAATTTTACAAATTTAAATGCATGGTAAAGAAAGGAATGGAGCACCTGGAAACCTGCAGACTGAAGGCAATTAAGGCATGTCAGGTTATTACTGTTTGGTTTTTGAGGCAGAGCATCACATGTAGCCAGGCAGATTACAACTCCTGTTCTCATCACTGCTCTTTCTCTCTCTCTCTCTCTCTCTCTCTCTCTCTCTCTCTCTCTCTTTCTTTCTTTCTTTCTCTTCTTCATTAAAGCCTCTAACACACGGTTTTCTTACTTCATATATAGCCTTTATCTTGCTTTGTTTCTTGCTTCATCCACTTGCCCCGCACCTCTCCACTCAGATGGCACAGGCTTTTCCTGACATTCCTCCAGCCGCTCCCACAAATAGCCATCTCTCTGCCTTACGGCTTGTCGTCCAGTGTTTATTACCATTTCACAAAACACTTGTCTTTTAACATACTTGTAGGATGGCCTCTCAGTGCTAGTAAGAGTCCCAGGAGAGGAAGCTGTGCTGTGTGTGTCTCGTTAGCACTGTCGCCCATCGTGGGGGCACTACCCAGCACGGAATAGGATGTGCAATAAAAACACAGGAAATAAAAGTAATGGTTACATTTCAAGTTTATCGCTTCCTTCTTAAGACAAATAAATTTTAACCAAGAAAGCTCGGAACTGAAGGATATAATCAGGTGGGTCTTTATTCTTTAATCCACAGATTGAGTAAATTATGTTGACAGTTGCTAAAATAAAAGTTATTTGGTCATGCTATCTTACCAGTCTTTGATATACAGTTGAATTCCTTTCATTGCTATTGTTTATGGTTTGAGCATCTGGCAGACATTTTAAAAATTTATCTGAAATTTCCTTCCCACAATTTCCACTGCAAATTGTGACTAAATAAAGGTTTCATGAAATGACATTTTTTAAAAGATTTAAATTTTTTTCTTAAAGCTAGGCAATAGTGGCACATGCCTTTAGTCCCAGCACTTGGGAGGCAGAGGAAGGCAGATCTCTGAATCTGAGGCTAGCCTGGTCTACAAAATGAATTCCAGGACAGGCAGAGCTTATCAGAGAGATCCTGTCTCAAAAAAATAAAGAAAAAAATTTAGTTATTATGCATATGGGTCCCTTCCTGCAAGCATGTCTGTGCGTCCCATGTGTGGTCGTGCACACAGGTCGGAGGAGGGCACTGGATCCAGAAGCCTCCCCGTCCCTGTATCTGGGCTCCCACCAGAAGTGCCGCTTACAGTGGGGTGGGTCTTCCCACATCAATCAGGGCCAACAGGACAGTTCCTCGGGTAAGGTTCCCTACTCAGGTGAGTCCAACTCGTGGAAAGTTGACATTAAAACAACACACAATACA